CCCCCCCCCCCCCCCCCCACCGCCTGTGGCTGACCTGTGCTCTTATCGAGAAAGTCCATGGACTCCTCGCTGGCGCTGAAGTGGCTGGAAGTGGCCTTCTTCTCGGTGTCCTGTTCCACGTCGGAGCCCGTGTGCACCGAAGAGTTTGTACTCATGGGGGAGCGTGGCATATCCGACAAGGAAATCCTGCGGCCCGTGCCCCCGCTCAGCATGGGCTTGCTCATCAGGATCTTGGGGGACGCTGTCATGTCAAAGTTGAGCTTGACCTTTTCCTGCTTGTCTATCTTGGCAGTGCCAGCGCTGGGGTTAGTGGGATCGAGCAGCATTTGGTACTGGCTATTGGGCGTGTAGGGTGTCCTGAACGGAGAGTAATTAAAAACCCCAAACTTCCTGCGGATGTTCTCCACATAAACCTCCATTTCTTGCATGGCACTGTTGAAGATGCTTTTAGTCTTTTTCACAGAAAAAGGAATTTCTTTAGACATGAGGTAGCAATTATTAATTGGAACCCAGGCCCTAGAAGGGCAAAAGAAAAAGAGCATTTAAGTCAACTTCAGCAATTTCCAAGATTGTTTTTCTTTTTTCCTTAATGCGAATCAAATTAGCCTAGTATGTCTGCCAAGGTTCTTAAATGCTTATTCTATTTTTAAAGAACGACTTTGTTTGAATGGCTAATTAATGATCCACTAACAGACACGGTCTGCCATAAGGACATAACATGAACAACACAACTACAACATTAAAAGGCTCGATAGACTTAATCATTTTGATCCATTAAAAAAACAAATCCCCTTTGCTTTTTGGCTGGTAGAGAGTAAGGAAAGTCACTGCACCCCCTCAACTACACCTGTGAAAAGAGAATTATGCCCCAGATCTCATTCAGCTGCAGGCAAACATAAAACGCTATCTTTTCTCATTGCAATTCTAAAAGGGACTAGAAGGAAACTTTAAAAAACCATATCTCTAAAAGGAGGCACGTTTTTGAATATGAGATAATTCACAAGGAAAATTACTGAAAAACAGCCCTTTAGACTTTTGGGTGTGCACCTTTCACCTCCATTTCCAGGCCTATACCATCTTCCCACCATCAACACCCCACACATCCCACTGTGCTCTGCAGAGACAGACCCCTGACAGCAAAAATGCTGGAGGCTGCTTTTCTGGAACCAGCAACCTGCATGACTGCAGGAGGAGGTGGCACCACTACAACCACCAGTATGGATGACAGCACAGCTGACACATCCAAGACTTAACTTTGCCACCACATATGATTCCCCAGCCTCAAGCCAGTTTGTAGCTAGGAAACTGGTGGGAATGAGCTATTCCAAGGCCTTTTGGATTTCATAGACCATAAACTCAAGCCAGGTACAAAGCAACAGGGAGCAAAGTGGACTTTGGAGAAGTGGAAAACTCATGTCTAGTTCAAAGAGAAAGAAGCATCTACTCAGTTGCTACCCAAACTGACCATGTAGCTACTGAAGTCAACATTACCAAGTCTTCCAGTATTTTTTTAAAAAGAGAAAAACTGAACTTCTTATATTACATTTTACACCCATTTCAACAATTGGCATATAATTCCTATTTTTAAGAGAAAACAACCAAGAAGACATAAATCATGTCCATGGGACAGAATTCAGAACAGAGGCAGAGTGTTTGCATCTCTTGATGATGCTAGATTGCAACAAAAACTAAACCTTAAAACCCCAAAAGTAATTTCTGAGTGGTGGAAATTCCCAGCTTCTGGTTTGACTGCTATCTTTCTGCTGAGTCCTGAAGAACCAGCCAGAGGAGACAGGGCTGAGCAGGAGCCAGTGGCCTCAAGGTGAGACTGAGACTGGTGGGCGGGATCAGGACTAGACAAGCAGCTGGGATCCCCAGGGCTGCCCCTGGGCACAAGACTCCCCTCCCAAGCCAGCCTCAGCTCTTCATCCATAAAATGAAGGATGAGCTATTTGGAGGAGAAACTAGAGGAAAAAACAAAAAGCCAGCACCACCAGGCTCTATCAGACAGCTGGTCATGGTCTTATGACCTCATTCCCAGCCCCACCCTGCAATTCTGTCTGATCTTGAGGCCTTAACTGTTTCCTTCCGGGTTATCAAGGGCTTTCAGTGCAGCTGCTTGGTGGAAAAGTAAATGCATTTATTTTCCTTAAAGCAAGCCCAGGAATTTTTTTTTTTTTTTTTTTTTTAAAGATGACCGGTAAGGGGATCTTTACCCTTGACTTGGTGTTGTCAGCACCACGCTCACCCAAGTGAGCTAACCAGCCATCCCTATATAGGAATCCGAACTTGTGGCCTTGGTGTTATCAGCACCACACTCTTCCGAGTGAGCCACGGGCTGCCCTCCAGGAAATATTTAAAGGAAAATTAGATTTGCTTTACAATATAAGGCCTCTGAGAAGGACAATGTCATGAGAGGCCCCATGGCAGCACAGGTTACAGAGCTGTAGTTCTAGAGTTACAGTGTTTCAGTTCTAACCCCAGGTTGGCTGCTTCCTAGCTGTGTGACTTTGGGCAAGGCATTAACCTTTCTGAGCCTCAATTTTCTTATCGATAAAATGGATAAAAATGGATAAAATGGATTAATCGATAAAAGCAACTTCTACAAAAAGGTACTTAAAACAGTGCCTGGTGCATAACAGGCTTTTTTTTAAAAGCTCTGCAGGCATTAAATATTTCCTACATTTTTACATAAGTATGTGTGTGTATAAAATAAAAGAAAAAAAAGCAAATTCTTTCAAAAAGCATGCATTAAGACATGCCTCAATTTGTGCAAGAGCCTCCTCCCCAGGCGCACTCTAGTATTTAACTTAACAATTAACATGTGGTATTTTTGTGATATTTCTTCTTCTGCTGTCCTAACCTACTTCATGTACACATGTCCAGGCTTATGCTTTGGCCCTACAATCCCGAAGTGAGCTCCCTGAGAAAGGGACAGTGTATTTCACCTCCTGTAGCCTCCTTTCAGTATCCGCATCCAGTTCCCGGGTCTCACTAAGAGCATGCTGTCCGTAAACGTGGCCGTTCTGCTTTAAGAAGATCATGTCAGGGAGGAAGACGCTGTCCCAGAACGAAAAACTCCTCTGAGGAAGGGACTCGCCCACAGCTGTCAGCAACTCCCTATCCAAACATTCCTAGACCTCCAAAGCATTGTCACCCCACCACTGTGGAATGTCCTTGACAACGCCCTCAATGGCCCTCCTCCCCCAAAATGAACCCTCAGCACACACACTCCCTTAAAAGAGAAGACACTCCAGCCTCTAAGAGGGGTAAGAAAACTCTCATGGCCACCAGACTTATGCTGCTTTCTTTTTCATAAATGAAAAGAAGGGGCTCAGCTTCTGCGACAGCTCCCACACAGAACCAAGGCCTAAACCTGCAGGTGCTTAGGAAACAGCCTCTGGAAAAAGTGCTAGCAAAGTGCATGCATCGTTCTTAGTGTCCTTTAAGTCTACTTTTCCATGGCGTCTGACAGATAAAGACTAAGGTCTCTGCACGTGAACACAGAGCACAGAATCATCGACTTGAATGGTCTGGGAATAAATACCTGGTGCATACAGGCAAGCCCCCCCCCCCCCCGTGCCCACCTATATCCTAAGCATATAGATCTACCGTGTTACCTTATAGAATGAGAATCCCAGCTCATCAAGACAGTCCATACTTGCCATGTTCTGAGCATACACAGCCTGCCACTAATTCCTCCAGCTCTTCAAATGAAAACCAAACTCCTGCCACCCCTGACCTCACCTCCTACCATCCTCTTCTCCTCTCACCCTGTTCAAACCACACTGTCCCCCAGGCTTTTCTCGAACACTTGAGGCCTCAGCCCTTCCCTGCCCCTGGGCCTCTGCTCTTGCTAGTCTGTCTACCCAGATCTTCGCCTCAGGCCCAACTCCACCTCCTGATCTTGGATCATTTTGCCTATTTGTTCACTTGTTTGTTATCCATCTTCCTCAGTAGGACATCAGCCTTCAGGCAGGCAGGGAGAGTATCTGCCTGGCTCACTTGTGTATCCCCAGCATCTTGCATGGCCTGGCGCACAGCAAGCACCAAATATGTATTTCTTTTAATAAAGGAATAAATACATTTTAGGAAGAGTTCCAAAAAGAGCAGTTAAAATCATAGCATGATACTTCCTACCAAACCCACAGCACCTCAACTAATTTCCATTTTGTCTCCTGACAATGGATTGTTGGCATTCCTAGTCAACAATTTTGCAGATTATTGGGGGATTCACACTTTTCTTTGACCTGTAAGATGACAAGCAAAATTTAACAGAGAGTAATATTTCAGACTCCGGGGCTGCGATCCCGATACCGGTCAGTAAAAGAGACAAAAAGGAAAAAAAAAAAAATATTTCAGACTCCGTTGTTATTTAAAAATATAAGCTGTATCTTCTGTATATTCTAAGTGTGTGTATGTAATTTTTAGTATGTGTATTTTAAACACTTTTCCCTGCATACTCACATAGTTTCTCAAACTGCTTGGTGGGTGCCTCATTTAATCAAAACATAACTTGCTAAAAGAGAATTAAGATATTAACCACTGTTCATCTCTGTCTACCTGTTGTTCTCGAGCACACAGGGGCTCCGCTCTAAAGGGAACTGCTATTAGCCAGAATAATTCACTTTGCTGTGTGTGGAGGGAAAGGGGAGGGCAGAAAGGCTGGGAGGGAAGGCTCACACCTGTCAAAACAGCATCCCCTTATAATTTCCCATTTTAGCTTCAGAGAAAAGGGAACAGGAGGGAACTACTCAGCACAATGATAAGAGATTCATTTACTAGCAATCTGGGAAAACACTTCTGATCCCTGAAAGCATTATTTTGAAAAGCAATTTGCACGGTGGTTTAATTTACTCCAGAAAATCCAAAAAAAAAAAGAAAAGCAAGCACTTAAAATAGCCATGGAACCCATTCCAATAATGGTTTCATCAACAGAACCACTAAAGCAAGGTTATTTTCTAACATACCTGAAAAAAAACCAAAGCCCACACATTATCAGGCTTAACAGCACAGAAAAATATTTCTCAACGACAAGATCAGTGGTATCATGACAATAAACAAAATAATAGCCATACCCTCCACCTCTTTTCTCATCCAATGGCAGAACTGAAAGCTCATTTACAGCCACAGGTTCAAAGCCTGTTTTTAACTCCCACCTGTCATGTTGTCCAAAGAAACGGGCATCAACCTGCCCATCTTTATCTCTCAGAGCTTTTGCAGGCCAGAATGGAAACCCCTTCAGTTTTGCCCAGACCAAAGGATGTGGATTGCTCTAGGGGGAAAAAAAAAAAAAAAAAAAATCCAGTTTGTACATATTTAACAGCAAGATACACATTAAAGCTTGGTATGTGAGGACAAAGCAAGGAGGAGGCAATAAACGCCACAAACAGAAAGAACAGTTTCAAGCAGGGTTTGCCCAAGTGGTATTCCCTAGAAGGTGTGTGGCCAAGAGCCTGGACAAGCTGGGAAGGGGGCCAAATGGTGAGATCGGGAACTGCATGGTGACAAAACCAGGCTTGAGTCCTGGCTGTGCTACTACTATTAGCTGGGTGGCCATGAGCAAGAGATTTCACCTTTCTTCCTTTTTTTTTTTTTTTTTTGGTGGCTAGCCAGTAATGGGATCCAAACCCTTGACCATGGTATTACCAACACGATGCTCAACCAAGTGAGGTGACTGGCCAGCCTAGATTTCACCTTTTTGTGCAACACAGAGACATTAACACCTACACCCTCTGTTAAGTTTGAATTAAATGTGCATCGTGCCTAGCATATAATAAGGGGCAGTACTAGCTAACGTTATTCTTTATCAAGGGCTACACAGAGACTTATCTATTCAGGTGTTAACTTCAGAGATAGGAAGAGATGATAGGCCAGCCCGTGGCTCACTCGGTAGAGTGCGGTGCTGATAACACCAAGGCAACGGGTTCGGATCCTATATAGGGATGGCCGGTTTGCTCACTAGCTGAGCGTGGTGCTGACAACACCAAGCCAAGGGTTGAGATCCCCTTACCGGTCATCTTTTTAAAAAAAAAAAAAGAGATAGGAAGAGATGTAAAGTATGGTTTGGTTTTTTTTTTACGTTTCATTTTTTGTAAAGTATGTTTTGATTCTCAACTTTACTTATACAATCTTATCCCCTCCAACCTACTTCAACCTTCCACCTGTCCCCACCCGAGCCCCACCCCCACACATACACCAGCCGACCCCAACAATGTACGTTTCTCTGTAGAACACCAGTGTGAAAAATGCAGATCCACAGGGGAAATTAAAGTGACTTTCTTTCCCACAAGAACCACAACTTGGGAGAGACCATGGAATTAATGCAGGGAAGTATTTCCAAACCTCTTAAAACATACCCAAAATAATTTGTAAGTGACATGCTCATTTAATACTCATTATCTGGATAGCTTTGCCACATCCCACATCTCTGATGAGCACCTTTTACTCTGCATCCCGCTAATCTAACCCAGTAAACCATGATGCTGTCTTTGGCACATGAACTTTCAGACTAAGGTGTATCTTACCTGGATTACTTTCACTCTCTCATAACTTTATCAATAAAAAGTTACTTTAAAACTTCAAAGTTTCATCCAACTCACCTAAAGAAAGCTGTCTTAGGGTAGTCATCTAAGGCACAGAGTTCAGCAAATGAAATAAAAAGTAAATCCAACTTACACAAGGCTCACAAAACCAGTTATCTCGTTTTTGGCAAGCAGCTAGATAACATTCTGGACATACTTCGATCTCATTCATCTGTAAAGCAAAAATACATTAGAAAGTATCACCCCAGGGGCCCCACATCTAGTGGCCTCAAATACTTGATGACCTTCAAGGATAAGAGTAACTAAAGCCCCACAGTGGAAACACTCTGGAGATGAATCTGACTACTGCTCACCATTCCCAATGCTTCCACCTAGTCAAAGCCACCATCATCTCTCTCTAGACCAATGAGACGGGTACCTCCGGTGTTTCCCACCTTCTACTCACCATGGCTCATATGTACGCCACACAGCAGCCAGATGTCTTTTACAAAAATAAATCTGATCTTAACCTTCCCCTGCTTAAAAGCTTCCGATAACCAACCATTATACCAGTGATTCTCTGTTGGGGCAGTTTATTTTTGTTGTTGTTGTTGTTTTTTGTTCTTTTTGAGACCGGCCACACCACGCTCAGCCAGTGAGCGCACCGGCCATCCCTATATAGGATCCGAACCCGCAGCGGGAGCGCTCCTGCATTCCCAGCACCGGTAAGGTGCGCCACAGGCTCGGCCCATGTTGGCGCAGTTTAACCCTTCCCTCTCCATCCCACTATTTCTGGAGACATTTTTGGTTGTCACAACTTGGGAGGCAGGAAGGAGATAAATAATGGAATCTGTGATGTACAGGACAGTCCCCACAACAAAGAATTCTACAGCTCCAAATGTCAATAGTGCCAAGTTGAGAAGCTGACAATAAAATCTAAACACTTGATCGGTTCTCTCAAGGCCATGTGTGATGCATCCTTAGCCCACCTGCGTGAGTTCCTCTTGTAGTAGCTCCGCCCAACAATCCCTGCCAGCCACTTTGGCCTCCTCTGCTTGCCATGCTCCATCTCTAAGCACACTGTCAAAGGAGTTAATTAATACTACATTGTCCTATTTTATTTCCAC